CATGAGTCAATACTTTCTAGAACATTACTGTACATTACATATACAACTATACTAGAACGTTTACATTACTATACTTGCTAGATAGAGAGAACACACATTACAGCTAGCACACATAGACCATTACAGTTCATTACATTACTATACTTGCTAGAACAGTTCATTACATTACAGCTAGAACAGTACATTACATTACATATACGAGAATACGTGAGTTATGTGATTTAAATCGGAGCATGACTTAAAACCTCATGACTTGAGTTGCGGCCAGAATTCTCTTGAAGGGAGAGCGTGAGTTTGCGTATAGATCTATACTGGATTGACAATCCTACACCTTGCTGCTAGCTACAGCCGGACCTGCAGGTCTGCGGGTGCCAAACGTCATTCCGTTATTACGACCATTCATTTGTCGTTGTTACTAGTCGATAGTATGGTGCAATTTATCACAGAATGCCTTAGCCTAAAATACGGTTTAAGGTAGTTAGTACGGTAGTAGTCCTTTTAGAGCTACGTTTTAGTACTACGGTAATTTTTCCATTTACATATTTTTAGTGATAACCTCACTTAAACATAAATGTGCAAACTATATCTTTGGATAATGATAGTTATACTTTGGAAAATACATCCTCTTACAAGAGACACACACATGCAGAACAGTTAGGTCTTGGTAGAAGACTACATTCAAAACAGTTAGGTCTTGGTAGAAGACTCCTTTTGTTATTAATAGGAATCATAGGGATTCTAGGGTTTTTCAAACACTTACAGTTCATATACACTTTCAATACTTTTAAGTACATATACTTACATTTTCTCACATACAAATTAAGACACTAAATACTTATGATCTCACCAGCTTTAAAGCTGATACTCGCTTTCAAAATTACTTGTATCCTCAGGTCATCATAGACAGGTACCGATGCAAGGAGAAAGGAAGATGGAGCTTGTTCAAGACTTATCTTTCATTTTGATTTATGCTTTAGTGTTTATCAAAATTTGACAGAACACATTTGTATAATAATTATATTATTAATGCAATGGATGATGTTGTTGCTTGTTTACTACTTTACATTGTTGTTGATATTATACATGACGTCCTCCGCCCCAGAACATTTCCGCCGTTCCTGGTTTTGGGGTGTGACATAGTTTGTGTAAAAATAATATTTTTAACTCCCCTTTTGTCAAAACTATTTTTTTTGGGCTTGATTTTTATGAAAATGTGCATTCTTGGCCTATTTATAAATAATTTTATCTTTTTAGCACAAGTTCTAACAAATGCACATTTTTAGTATGTCTTAGCAAAAATTTACATTTTTGGCAAAACTATGTTGAAAATGACACTTAAGCCCACAAAAGCCCAAAAAGTTACAATTTTGGCCCAAGGCCGCGAGAAGCCCAAATAAAGCCCAATTGTGAAAAATTTTACATTTTTATCATTGTAGTGTCCCAAATGCCATAAATATCCATATTTATCAAAATAATCCTTTTTGAACCCTTAAAAATAGTGAGTTACATAAAAATACCCCATTTTTGGTTATTTTGTCACTTTTGGCCCTCTTATGCAATTTTCTTAGTTTTAAGGAACTTTGATGTATTTTAAAACCATTTATTTGCATGATAAGTTGAAATGAGTGTTATGTTCTACAAATAGCATCAAATTTTAGTAGATCTTCAAGTTTATGGAGTTTATAACACATAATCATATATATATATATATATATATATATATATATATATATCATGAAAAACACACAAAATCATGCATACACACATAGATCTACACAAAACAACTTATATTCTCCCCCAAAACATAGTAAAAACCGAAAATATGAGGTATGAACTCACTTTGCTTTGGAGTTTCGGTTTTTGATGAAGAAATGGAAAGATCTCAGTCCTTAGCAAGCTTTCTTGAGTAGATTTCGAACCTAAGGTGGATCTAGAGCATGGATTATGAAATGATGTGGGTTAAGAAGAGATTTCTAGAGTAAATTGAATCAAATGTTATAGATTTTCGTAATGACTTACCAAGGATGTATTAGCTTTGATGGAGAGTCCTTGATATAACCCTAAAACTCATGAGAATTTAGCGGATGAAGGAGAGGAGTTCTTGTGCTAGAAAGTGTTTGAAGTAACTAGAATTGAGATTGAAGGTGGTGGTGGGAGTCCTTGGTCGTGAATAAGGAGGAGAGGGGATAGAGAGAGAGTGTGTGTGTGTGTGTATGTGTGTGTGTGTGATGAGACTTCCCTAGATGTATGAGATTTCATAGTTGTATGGTGGGTATTATGCATGGATATTCACCATGCAAATAGTGAGGTGTCTTCCCCATAATTTCCCTCATTTTTTTTTTGTTTCTGAGTGTGGGTTGTGAATGCGGAGGGATGGTGTTGACGGCTCAAATACATTAAAGAGATGGGTTTACGACCCATCATTGTTTAAAAGAGTGGTTCACGGTCCATTGGGTTCTTCTTTTGGGTTTACGGCCCAAAATGATGAAGGAATGGGGTTTACGGCCCAATAGGGCTTATGAACCCATTTACGGCCCATTAAGGCTCATGATGATAAGGTGAAACATTTTAGGCCTAATAAGGTCCATGAGAAGTCTTATGACCCAAAATGATATTATTTCATGTATATGGGTCTATTTAAGGTCCAAATAAGGTTCCTCGAGCCAAAATAGTCAAATTGAGAGTTTATTGGCCCATTAGGCCCAACATGAGGAACCTAGTCCATGCTTGAACCGGGTTATTAGGGTTTCAAACCCATAGTTGAGTATATGAGATGTATTAAGTTAGGTTTGGACTTCACTCAGAATATTATATACACTTAGATTACAAGTTTTACAATAGTTGATGGTTACATGAAAGCAGAATTTCCTAGCTAAAAATGCTAGTTGTGACACCACCTAACCAGAACCGCCCGCCACCACCACCCACCTCCACCACCCATCACCACCACCACCCATACCCACCCACCATCCATCACTATCACCACCACATATGATTATGTGTATATAATCACATGTGATTATTTGTATTTAATCATATCTGATTTATACGGACAATATACTTTTTTGTCCATATAAATAATGTGATTAGATGCATATAATCACATTTGATTAGATATATTTAATCAAATACGATTAGATATATTTAATCACATATGTCATTATTGCGTTCTCGATTCAGTAATTATTTTTGGTCAACTTTATTCATATGTGATTAGATACATATAATCAAATGTGATTATATGTATCTAATCACATATAATTTATATGAACAATATTTATTTTTTAGTTTTCGTTTCAATAATTTTCTCATATATTTAATCACATGTGTTTATAAGTATTTAATCATATATGATTAATGAGAACATAAATTTGGTGTAATGTTCTTGATTCAATAGTTGTTTTCGTGTATATAATTACATGTGATTATATATATTTTATCACATATGATTTATTGAATCAAGAACATGAAAACATATATTTTTCACATAAATCATATGTGATTAAATACATAAGACCAAATATTGAATTAAAAATGCAAAAATCAATATGTTTCACATAAATCATATGTGATTGAATACATATAATCACATGTGATTATATGTACTTAATCACATATGACTTATGTGGACAAGATTTATTATTTCTTTCTGAATTCGATAGTTGTACTAATATACTAAATCACATGTGATAATATGTATCAAATTACATATGAGTTTTCTATTGATAATATTCGTTTTCGCATTTTTGATTCAATATTTTTTTTTCTTATGTATTTAATCATATGCGATTGTATGTATTAATCATATATGATTAATGTGGAAAAAGAAAAACAATTGGATCAAAACATGAAAAAGAATATTGTGTATAGAAATCATATGTGACTAAATGTACAAGAACAACTATTGAACGAGAATGTAAAAATGAATATTTTCCACATAAATTCTATGTGATTAGATACATGTAATCACATGTGATTATATACGTTTAATCACATATGATATATGCGAACAATATTTATTTTTGCTGTTTTGATTGAATAATTGCTTTTATATGTATACATATATAATCACATATGATTTATGTGGACAATATTTATTTTCGAATTTCCGAATTAAATAGTTAATCCAACGTATTTAATCACATGTGATCTATATGGACAAAATTCATTTTTTTCTTACTCGATTCAAAAGTTATGTTCATTTACTTAATCATATCTGATTATATGTATACAATCACAAATTATTTATAGGAACAAGATTTATTTTCGCATTTCCATTAAATATATATTTTTTTTTGCATTCTCGATTTAATAATGTTCTATGTATATAATCACATGTGGTTCTATGTAGTTTATCATATATGATTAATATAGATAATATTTGTTTTCCTATTTTTGGCTCATTAATTTTTCTTGTGTAATTTAGAATTTTTTTTTATCAACAAGTAAATTCAATACAGTTATATATTAAAAATTTATTTTTTCTATCTTCCACCCATTCAATCTAACTAAATCTAATTTTTACACTTAATAATAATCCAATCTAAGCCAAAAATTTATTTAATTATATTTTGTATAATATGTTTTTATTATTTTAAAATTATAAAAAAAAATCAACATTTTTAATATAAATATTGAATAAAATTGATTTTTATAATCATTGTTAAATTTTATTTATGATTACCAAAAAAATAGTTACAACGATAATGGTTAACTAAAAGGAAAAAAATTATAAAATTTGATATGTTTTGTTTTTTTATTAAAATAAAAAGTCAAACTCACAAAGTAATTAAATGGCTTTTTAAATTCAAATTTTCTTATCTCTTTAACCTATTTCTTTTTGAACGGCAAAGGTTGCTTCACGAGTCACGATGCCTAAATCCAACGTTTCATCTCTTTAATCTATCAAACTATCTTTCCACATATATGTGTATTTTTTAATTCCCATTGAATCATAGACGAAGGAACCGAGTTTGAAAAAAAAACTAGAATATCTTTCGATGGTATGTAAGGTTTGTATTGAGCTTGAATCTCACCTTTTGTTTGTGGATAAAGCTTTGGCGCATTTTCTTACTGAGATAGGCAGGAAGTACACAACAGTGGATGAATTCGAGGCTAAATTGAAGGGAAATGGGGTTGAGATGCTTGATTGCTTTATTCATAATTTGTTGAAGATCATTCACATAATTTTGGCTCCAAACGTGAAGTGTAAATCTGATAAAGATGATAGTAAGTAGGATGATGATGATAGACCGAATTCGACATAGTTAGAGGAAGAGAAAAACATACACAGACAAAGATATATATATATATATATATATATATATATATATATATATATATATATATATAATATATATATATATATATATATATATATATATATATATATATATATATATAGAGAGAGAGAGAGAGAGAGAGAGAGAGTGTAACGACCCGTTCCCGGTATGTTGATTTATTGGTAATTGTAGTGAGTTTTTCAAGAGGGACTCGGCGAGTTCTAGCCTGACTCGCCGAGTAGGGTCGCGCCTGAGGGCACGCGTGAGCCGGGGACTCGGCGAGTCCATATCCCTGACTCGGCGAGTCCATCTGTCTGGGTGAAACCCTAAATTTCCCGGGTTGCCCACTATTTATACCACCTTATAGCCCCCATCCTCGCCTCCCTCACCCTGAGAACACAGTGAGAGAACCCTAATCCTCCCTTGAAGAGCTTATATGTGTTTTGGTGCCATTTTGTGAAGGTGTGAAGAAGGAGAAGAAGGAAGAAGCAAGGAGAAGTGTTGTAGTGCAAAGATCCAAGGCCAAATCAGAGTTAATTGAGGTATTTTCGGAGTTCCATCTTGTTATATGCTTTAAACTTCCATTAGAGCTCTCCTAAGAGCTAGTTGATGCTTGTTCCAAGCCTTGCACTTGCATGAACGTCTTATTAAGTCGAAATATCTATGGATCTGAATGTTGGGGTGTTGTAGAGCCCAGATCTACTGTCTTTTTGGAGTTATATTGCATGATAACCATAGATCTACCCATTTTGTGCATCTTTTAGCCTTATTTCCCTTATTCATGAGGTTGTACACGTAAAGTTGGAAACTTTACGTGGTAAATCAGCTTATTGGACCCAGATCTATCAATTGTATATGTTGGATTCAAACAAAATCAAGTAAAAATCAGTTGCATGGCGGCAACTCGGCGAGTCGGAAGAACGACTCGACGAGTTGGGTCGCGAGTCCCGAGTTCTTCAGTTTTATCAGTGTCGAGTGGACGAGGTGAGTTAGAGAGTGGACTCAGCGAGTTGAGGGTGAACTCAGTGATGGAGGGACTCGGCGAGTTGTTCATCAACTCGGCGAGTCCAAGGCAATCTTCTTGGGATCAAGAACAACTCGTCGAGTCTGTTCATACGACTCGGCGAGTCGGATGAAGATTGTCTGAGTTCTTGGATCAAGGGGGTACTCGTCGAGTCGATGCCAGACTCGACGAGTAGCAGTGAGTAAAAGTGAAAAGTGAGAGTAGGACTCGGCGAGTTGGGTGGCCCAACTCGGCGAGTCATCCCAAAGGAGAGTTGACTTTGACCTAGGGTAAAAGAGTCATTTTACCCCAAGCGCAGTGTTTAGTATTTGATTGAGTGTGTTTATGGACTTGTAGCCGAGGAGATTCAGGAGTAGCCGCCGTTAGCTTTCCGAGCCACACACTCAGCAGCCAGCTTACGAGGTGAGTTTCCTTCCAGTAGGAACGGGTCTAAGGCCACAATGCCGGCCCGTTCAGTTAGCAGTAGTTTCCGGATTTAGGTCCGATGCAGTAGTTAGTATGTTCGATGCCTTCGTGGTTCGAACAGGATTTGTGTGCTATGTTTTATGTGTTATGTGTTCCGGGCCACGGGCCGATGTAGCATGTCGTATATGTGTTATGCTAGTTGATGTGTTATGCTATGCCATGTTCAGCCAGTCAGTTCCGGACTTCGGTTCGATGCAGTTAGTTCCGGACTTCGGTCCGATGCAGGGGACAGGGTCCCAGTCAGTTCCGGACTTCAGTCCGATGCAGTTAGTTCCGGACTTCGGTCCGATGCAGGGGACAAGGTCCCAGTCAGTTCCGGACTTCGGTCCGATGCAGTTAGTTCCGGACTTCGGTCCGATGCAGGGGACAAGGTCCCAATCAGTTCCGGACTTCGGTCCGATGCAGTTTCCGGGCTTCGGCCCGATGCAGTGGGCAAGGCCCAATATGTGTTTATATGTTATTGTATGGTATGTGGTAGTTTGGGGGAGCTCACTAAGCTTCGTGCTTATAGTTTCAGTTTGGTTTCAGGTACTTCCGCAAGCAGAGGGAAGAGCTCGGGGTGACAGCATCGCACACACCACAGCATAGCTTTTATCCTGGGGATGTCTTTTGATGTTTTGGATTGATGTAGTATGATACAGTTTTCCGCACAATATTTTATTACGTTTTGGGGATTCATCGCGTATGTTTTATGCTATGATACTTATATTATGGGTTTGATTATATTGAAAAACGAAAATTTTTGGGTTGTGTTTTTGGGTCGTTTCAGAGAGAGGGAGAGAGTGCTACCAGGAGAAAGGAGCTGATTGTTGCTGAAAATCACGAAGCCTAGCAGAGAACGAAGGCGGCGGCAACGGTCAGCGAAACGGTGATAACTCCATGATTTTTGATAAGAGTTTGTCGTCGGCAGATTCGATGGCGGCGGTCGGTGAAACCAGATCTTGTCGCCTTCTTCATATCCAGTGAACGTGATTGGAAAATGCTAGCCTTCTACTTCAGATCCGGTAGAAACCTGGTCGTCAGTGAAATGATATTGTGAAATATGATATCGAGTGGAGATATCTCATCGGAGGCGACTGATTAACATGTAAATGTGTTTTTGTTTCTGTGAATTCAAAGCTCATATTCATATATTCAAGTCCTCTATCCTCCTTCCATTCTCACCTGCTAGACTATCATTCAGACTATCATAAATGAAGACAAAAGCCTTTTGACAAACAAGTTTAGTGATGAGTTGAATGATTTCTACTTCAGATCCGATTAGATCCATCGAAACGAGATATGATGGCTACTAGATGAGATTCGGTGACAGTGGTCGATGTAGCAAGATTAGGTGATGGTTCGGGATGAGTGGAGGTAGATGAAGGAAAGGTGGTGAACAAGAATATCTGGAGTGTAGATGCGACAGTCTGGTGGTTCTGGCGGTGTTACAGTGGTTCTTGTAGTGGTTCGGTGGTTCTGGCGGAGTAAAACACCATGACTGTTTATGATTGTTCATGCTCCATGGTATGATCGATATGAGGGTATCGATGGAGGGATTACTGACATTACTGAAGCGAAACATAAGAACAAATGCGAGAGTTAATGATCAATTTCCCCCAAATCGACACTGTAGGAGATAAAAAAAAGATTACATAAATCATTGAAATCAAGAAAAATCATTATGGGGGACCAGACTGATATTTGAAGGTCAAGAATAAATTAGGGGAATCTGAATCCATCAAAATACCTCAACAGTTTATGGGTTTAGATCCACCATTCTCTCATGGCTTCTCGATAATCATCATGGCTTCTCGACCAACTTCTAAAGCTTTGCCTAGTTACCAAATCCAGAGATCTCTATGTGCTCAAACAAATATTCAAACCCACCAAGAACAATACTAAAGGACTCTCTGATCTAATGGGGATTGATATCTTCATTTCAAATGCAGATGTAGAAAAAGAACCACCTCTCGTCACTGCAAACACATCCTTTCAATTTTAGTACTTGGTGGTGGTATTAGGTGGCAATGGTGGTCTGCGATTGGGAAGGAGGCGTTGAAGATGGAGATCGCAACACCTCTATAATTTCAGACATTCGAAGGAGGGGTTTAGGGTTTTGAGACGAAATGATTTTGTGATTGACCAGGGATATGGTTTTGTAGGGTTTAACTAATTAAGGATAAATTAATTGAATTTTTTTGTTTACCATAATTAGATATACTAAGTTTACCATTATACCATTTTTTAATTTATTTAATAATTAATTATTTCTTGAATTCTCATTGGTGCATATATGCACATAATATTTGTTAGAAACATTTGAACCTAGCTCTCTCTCTTTCTATATATATATATATATATATATATATATATATATATATATATATATATATATATATATATATGTTCGGGTTCATTCAAGACCATATTAATTTTGTGAGACCATTCAGATCAAATCTAAAAATAATTTTAAAATGCAAAATAAAAAGAAAAATCCAAATTTTTTTTTTAATTATTATTTTCGAAACTTTATTTAACTAAAAATAAAAAATAAAAAATAAAAAAAATACCGTTTTTTTGAAAAATACGTGAAATATTCTAATAGAATATTACACTGTATATATTCTAATATGATTTTTAGAATGTTTTGAATATTCTACTAGATTGCCAGATATATAAAATATTCTAAATATTCTACTAAAATATGTAAAAAATGTATTTTTTTGTATTTATTTTTTATTTATTTTTGGAAAATATATATTCCGAAAATAATATTGGAAAAAAAATTCGAAAATTTTCAAATATTTTGCATTTTAAAAATGTTTTTGTTTTATCTCATAAATGAGTAACTAAGATTGCGTCTCACGGTTTCATAAAATTAAGTCGTCTCACATGAACTTAACCATATATATATATATATATATATATATATATATATATATATATATATATATATATATATATATATATATATATATATATATATATATATATATATATATATATATATATATACACCCACGAAGAGTTTAGTATGGTTTCGTAAAGATGTCAAAATTTTGAAGTTTTGTTGATTCCTACCCTACACAACCACCATCCACGACACGGGCTGATTTTACCAAGTGGGAGCTATGTTCCTACTCGATCAGCGTTTCATAATTTTCACATTGCACGAAATTCATATTTAATTATTTACATCATCCAAGTAAATCCAAACAAATGTGGACATGATATTTTCGGTTTGCCTTACCTTCGCTCATTTTTTGTGGTTTATCATGGTGCAACTAATCAATATACGGCTTGATTATATAAAACGTTACTTATGCATTTAAATGCGATATTTCATAAGTCTATTACCCCATGTATTAATTAGTTCTTGTCAAACTACTGGTTAAGAGTAATTAACATCCTACCCATGCAAGTGGTGGACCACAGTGATGAATGACCAAGGGTAACATGCATACACACTTACAGTAGCAGGATCAACCTTTTTCTATCAACTATGATTCTCATTACTACTTATGATAAACCCTTCTTCTATTTTGTTATCAGTCACATGGTTATGGTGATATCGAATCTAGAAGTACGTAAGCAAAACTCTTGACTCCGTTGGGTATGTTTGAGTCATGTTGAAGACTCAAGATAAGTAAGAATATTTTAATATCATGATGATGAGACTTGTACAAGACAGCAAAGATTGTTTGGATGAATAATTTGACAAAATTGGCTGCATTCTTAGACATTTTATCCCAAGAATTGGAACTATCTGCCTCAAAATATTATATCCAAACAACCCAAATATATATATTATGTGAAAGAATAGATTTAATTCTTAGGGTTGGAATAAGTTTTTTATAATAATGGTAGGTAATTGTCATATTCATTTGGAGTGTGGGTAAAGGTATCTTGTTTATTAGCTATTTAATCATCCCAAGAAAAGTGATTCATATTTTAAAACTCATATGTATTATTGCAAGTTTTAACATTTTGTAATTACATGCATCATCGTAACTTTTTTTTTCTTGACTGGACTTTTTAGTTAACGTTAATACCTACGAATTAGACCTTATTCAAATAATCGTTTGAAAAAACCATTTTTAAATAAGTTTGGATAATATTTTGTAACATTCTTGTATAGTTATGACAAATGTTACAAAAACCTTTAAACCAAATAATATTGAATATAATACGTCTTTGCAGCGAGCGTTTGAGAGTACAACTTTTACATTTTAATAAAAAAATTGTTTTAAACAAAATGTTTGGTTTGTAACTAATAATAACGTTTAAAAAAAAAGTTCAAAGTTTAAAAGTTACTCCATCTAGCATTTAAGATTAAATAATTGAGTTTTTTTAATCAATTTGAGAGTTATCCAAATATATAAAAGAGATGTTCTTTTATTTAATTTTGGATATTTTAAAAATCTTTTAAACATATATCAATAAAAAACTACATGTCAAACTATAAATTATCATATTCTAGCTAATTTTGACAAATGCGTCTAATATAAAATCAAATGTTTGTTAATTTCCATACCAAAGAAGTAGTAAAAGTTTAATTACTACAATTATTAGGTGACTTTGGATAAAAGAACGAACTTAATTAAACAAAAGGATAAAGTTTTGGATTTTGGTAAGGTGTCGATGGAGTTTAAAAAGGACAATAGGATTTGTTGGCTCAACCCCAATAACACAAATGGAATATAACACTTTAGCAAACTAATCTCTATCTAATCAACTAATCATGTACCATAAAGGACCATAATTTTATATATAGATTATAGAATAAATATCCATAATTCTCGAATATATATATATATATTAAAATTGTACAAAATTATATAGACTGGAGAATGGAAACTCGAAAGTGGACCCTATTTTGACTTTGTAAAACTGTTCAAATTTAAAATCCAAAACATGCAGATTATGGAAACTCAACCAATCACTTTCGATAGTTTTTATCGAAACAAAACCATACTCACTCACTCCTCTTCCTTTTTCTTCTTCTTCTTCTTCTTCAACAACTGCAATCGTTGACCTTTTTTCTGCAACTTCAATTTAAACCCTTTACACATTCTGTAAAACCATTTAATTATCATCACTTCACCCAACGATTTCTGCTGTGTGGGGAATGGGTAATCGATACGGTGGCCATTAATGATGCTTCGGAGTTCTGACACCTCCATTTCTCTCTCTCTCTCTTTCTTTCTTATCTCTTGCTTTTATACCTCTTCAATTACCAAAAAACGTAAAATCATATCTCCATGCACTGGTTTTCTGACACCTTATGACTTTTCTTCCGCCATTAACGCACTCACCGAGCTTCATGAATAAAAACGAGCGTCCATCACCATAACCTTTGTGCAACTCGAATTCCATGGCGAAACAGGTGTTGAAATTTCTTGCTCTGTTTTTCGTTGGTTTTCTTCTGTCGTTTGGATATGTTGAGTGTGTGAATTTGGATTCCGCTACGAGTTTTGGAATTCTTTTAGAGGTTAAACGATCGTTCACTGAAGACCCGGGGAGTGTTCTTAAAGATTGGTCGAAGAAAAACCAGAGTTTCTGTAACTGGTATGGTGTTACCTGCGCCGGGAAGTTATCTCAGGTGGTGGGGCTCAACCTCTCCGGTGCATCATTGGGCGGCGGAATCTCGCCGTCGATTTCACTTTTACAGAACCTGCTCCACCTTGATCTTTCGTCAAACCAGCTCTCTGGTCCCATCCCACCTAATATCTCCACTCTCAGCTCCTTGTCCTCTCTCCTCCTCTTCTCCAATCAACTCTCCGGCCACATTCCGCCGGAGCTCGGTTCTCTCTCTAACCTTGTGGTACTCCGTATCGGTGACAACCGCCTCACCGGCCCTATCCCACCTTCCCTCGGTGGCCTCCAGAATCTAACGGTTCTCGGTTTGGCGTCGTGTTATCTTTCCGGGGAAATACCACCGGAGCTAGGAAAGCTCACGAGCCTCGAGAATCTGGTTATACAAAACAACGAACTGGAAGGACCCATCCCGCCGGAGATTGGTAACTGTTCGAGCTTAGTAGCGTTCACCGCCGCCGT